TATTTATACCTTTACTTCCCAAGCAAAAAAGTGGGCGGGGCTGGAACACCTTGCGGCAGTTCGTATCCTTCAGTTCTATTGAAGACGGTGTTAAAATGCAAGTTTGGACGTCTGTTTCCTCTGACTTGGCATCATTGGACTCATTGATTAATTCAACAAACTCAATTAGAGGCTGTTGTAACTTGTAAGCACGGAAGACCCATCGGTTGATAAGCTTAATTTCCTTCTTTGAAGCATACAATTGTTTTAGGCATCGCATTGGACAGGTAGATTGAAGATGAGGAGCCAAGTTTAAGGAAGAGAAGGGAGGGGGGGGGGAACACGATCGTAGTTAAATGCTTTTTAAGAGCCAAAATAATAGAACAATGATAGGACAGAGCGGTGATGAAAGAGTTCGAGAAAAGTTCATGTTGGAGAAACAGTTCTTCTGTTCAGGGAGGAGGAAGAGGTGTGAAGGAAAATAAGAAGAAGATGAGAAAAGAAGAAGAAGAAAAAGAGAAGAAGAAGAAGAAGAAGAAGAGAAGAAGAAGAAGAAGAAGAAGAAGAAGAAGGAGAAGAAGAAGAAGAAAAAGAAGAAGAAGAAGAAGGAGAAGAAGAAGAAGAAGAAGAAGAAGAAGGAGAAGAAGAAGAAGAAGAAGGAAGAAGAGAAGAAGAAGAAGAAGAAGAAGAAGAAGGAGAAGAAGAAGAAGAAGAAGAAGAAGAAGAAGAAGAATAGGTGGAGGAAGATGAAGAAAAGAAGAAGAAGAGAAAAAAATGAAGAAAGACGACCAAGAGCAACAAGACGAATAATAAGAGCAAGACAAAAGAAAAAGAAGAAGAAGAAGAAGGAGAAGAAGAAGAAGAAGAAGAAGAAGAAGAAGAAGAAGAAGAAGAAGAAGAAGAAGAAGGAGAAGAAGAAGAAGAAGAAGAAGAAGAAGAAGAAGAAGAAGAAGAAGAAAAAGAAGAAGAAGAAGAAGGAGAAGAAGAAGACTTTTTTTTACTTTTGAAAGTAAAACTTTATTTACAATACATATAATAATTAAAACAGATAAAAAAAATAACAGTGATGCACTTAATATAATAAGTGTTTGTGAATCATATACCAATAATCAACAACAAGTAGTACGTAATACATGAGAAAGTAACCATTAAACAATTCATAAAAAAACAATAATTTCGACGGTAGAAATTGAGAAAAAACATAAATTGTACTAAACACTGATTACAAATGATTACACATCCATAGAGTGTTTCAAAACGATTAAATTATGGGAATTCATACCTTCCAACTATGAGCTTCTTCTCAAGACAAACTTATCACAAACAACAATTAAATCAACCATGTGAGATCAATATCATCTGAAAGAAAGAGTACATTATTGTACGACCATATCTTATGAAATAACACCAAATTGTTTTGTAATTTGTGAAATTCATAATCAAGAATGACTCTGTTCTTGATTCTAAGTTTCCAAAAAGGAAGTGGATCAAGAAAACGAGAGGTACGATAAAGCCAATATAATGTGCTTTTAAGAATGACAATAAAAAAGTTGGATAGGCGCACGGCCTCCCTGTTACGACCTCTTGCATGTGGAACCAGAGTCCAGTAGAGGTCAAAGTCAATGTTTACTTCGGGTAGAAGACTTGACAGAAGATGATGAAGAAGATCCAAGGCCGGTTGTATAGAAGTACACTCGATAAAGAGGTGTAGAATAGTTCCCTTCTTGTCACACCATCCAGAAGAAGAAGAAGAAGAAGAAGGAGAAGAAGAAGAAGAAGAAGAAGAAGAAGAAGAAGAAGAAGAAGAAGAAGAAGAAGAAGAAGAGAGGAGGAAGACGAGGACAATTAAAGAAGGAAGAAAATGAGGAGAGGATGAAACGGAGGAAAGGGGTGATGATGATGATGATGATGATGATGATGACGATTATGATGATTATGATGATGAAGATGAAGAGGAGGAGGAGAAAGACGAAAAATAAGAAAACAAGTAAGAATGAGAATGAAACAAAATTTCGTTGTTATTCTTTGCTTTTCCTTCTACCATAATATCATTATTCCCTACTTGTATTTGCTGATCTTATTCTATGTTTTCATTCCTTTGTCGAAGCCCGGTTAGCTCAGTCGGTAGAGCATCTGACTTTTAATCAGAGGGTCGCGGGTTCAAGTCCCTCATCGGGCGAGAGTAGATTTTTTTTTTTTTTTTTTTTTTTAGCGCTTTGGTGGTAAGCGCTTTATATTAGATAAGCAACGTTTTTATTATTATTGTTATCATTATTATTATTTATCATTCTATTACTATTATGATTATCTCATATCTGTCCCTCTGTTCTTTGTTTTGTTCTTTCCATCTTCTCTTCTTTTCATTATGACTAGGCTATGTATCATTTATCATTTTATCTTTCTATTTTTCCTTGTTTCTTCCCCGCATTTCACCTTTCCACTTGTATTACTACATGTATGTACATGTATTTTCTTTCTTCAATTTCTACCTCTTCCCGAAAATATTTCTTTGCCTTACTTCCAAAACTCATTACTTTCCGGAGAACATACACTCACTTTCAGGGTTTGTTTCCACTCTGCACTTTAGAGCGGTGGAAGAGAACCGGTCCAGAAGCTAGACCACATACCCGGCCTGGTCTTCTGGAATGGTCCATGCAGAGGTATACGCTTCTGGTTTCTGGCGTACCTCTTCACACTCACGTTAGACCGATTTAGCTAATATAAAGCCGGTCCAATGGAGTGAGTGAGAATGGGGTCTGAGTCATAAGCAATCTTGTAATTAACGATGACACCCTGCCCAATATTGATGTCTGAAAAGTCTGATTGGTGCGGGTAAATATTGGATCCTGACCAAGTTTTTCTCTCTTTCATTGGCGTATCAAGCACAAGATGGAGCCGTTGTACGCCCCCCCCCCCCTCGTTGGAAAGGCCGGAGGGGGGGGGGGGGGATCGTTCTAAGTGTAGAAGGCCTACATGTATGTCTACGCCATGTTGGGCCGCCCCAGTCTACTCCCCCTCCTCTCTAGAAGGGATTCCGTCCCTATTTTTTAACCAATTTTTGGGAATGTCATTGATTTTAGCCGTCAGAAGAAACAGAATTGCATAGAATTACTACGAACTAATTAAAAATCAGTTTAATCAGTAAACGTTGATCATTTTTCTTAATGTTACAGGGATGGTGTTTGGTGACTATTTCAAAAAGGTAATAGCAACATAGAGAATACTTATGCTCGAGGATTCCGACCAACAACCTACATTTACTTTATCTGATCCTCGTCGAATAATTTTCAAGCTAGAGTTCAAGGGCTAATCAAAATCAATTTAAATCAACCTCGAGCTGGGTTGAAAGAATTTGTCGACAGGCTTAAATACCTGCCATCTTAGCGCATGTAAATGACAGAAAAAAAGTAAAATACCAAGGTGAGCTTTCACCAACAACTATTTCATAGCACAATACCAAGGGAGAAAGACACATGCAACTCTGCCAAGCATTGTGAGCCTTTAACACTGTCAATGGTATTCATCTGGCAACGGAAGTACAATACCTGGAGAGTTGGTTTGACAGTCCAAGTCGAGACAACCCGCTTGACAGTCATGTAGTGACGTTGCCAGAGCGAGTACTGTCTGATTCATGAACTTGATATTGCATCTGTTGTAAAGAAGCCATGTAGATATACGATATCGATGCCAGCATTAATTGGGCAAATCCGTATAATGATAATGGGAAACGATCAACCTGAAAAATTGTATCTACTCCAGGTTGCGACATAGATTTTGCCAGCCAAAGATGAAAATGGAGTTTGGGTTATTTAAAAAAAGCAACACATTTACCATTTTGGTAACACCTTTACCAATCACAGGCAACAAATTTACCAAGAAATGGCAACAAGTTTACATGTCATGGGAAATCCCTCCCTCCCTCCCACCCTCCCTCCCACCCTCCCTCCCTCCCTCCCTCCCTCCCTCCCTCCCTCCCTCCCTCCCTCCCTCCCTTGCTTTGGGCAACACATTTACAATTTTGGCAACATCTTTACCAATCACAGGCAACAACTTTACCAAGAATTGGCAACAAGTTTACATGTCATGGGAAATCCCTCCCCCCCTCCCTCTCCCTCTCCCTCTCCCTCCCTCCCTCCCTTGCTTTGGGCAACAAATTTACCAAATTGGTTTTTAAAAAAGCATCACATTTACCATTTTGGCAACAACTTTACCAAGAATTGACAACAAGTTTACTTGGGAAATCCCTCTCTCCCCCTCCATCCCTCCCTCCCTCACTCCTTCCCCCCCCCCTCCCTCCCCCCTCTCTCTCTCTCTCTCTCTGAGGTTGTTGCCCCAAAAGGCAAAGGTTTGCATCCTTCATCAATGAATTTGCCACAGAGGGAAAAAAATATATGAATAAATGAATCAAATGTAAATAAAGTTACCAATGAAGTGCCCCAGTTCAGGCGCGTAGCCAGGGGGGGGGGCGGTGGGGGCGGTCGCCCCCCCCCCCCAAAACGCCGGCCAAAAAAAAAAGAGAGAGAAAGAGGAGAAGAAAAAAAAAGAGGACGTAGGAAGAAAAAGGGAAAAGGAGTCGAGAACGGTACAACGAATCATCAAAGCTTCCGCGCTTCGCGCGGGAAGGGGGAACTGAGTTCAAATTTAGGATTAAGGGTCGGGAAAGTTACAACGAATCGTCTTCTTTCTCTTATAATTTAATGAAACGTCAAAACTTCGCACAAGAGGGGGGGGAGACAGAATTCAGACAATGATTAAGAGTCGAGAAAGGTACAACGAATGGTCTTCTTTCTCTAATAATTTAATAAAAAGTCAAAGCTTCACGTGAGAGGGGGGAGGGACTAAATTCAGACAAGGATTATGAGTCGAGAAAAGTCCAACATGCAGTTGAAGCTATTCTCGATACTCCTAAGAATGAGAAGACCAACCCCTCCCCCAAGAAGCAGCGGAGAACCCCACCACCCGCCCAGAAGTCAGATCGTCAACAAGATCAGATATCATCGGCCGCTTTTCAGTCTCAATACATGTATCCACCGCAACCCCCTCCTCCTCATCAACGTATGCAGTTTGTCCCGCCCACTTCAGACTTCCCAGCACCCCTCCCTCAACGTAGACTGAACCCACAATTGGACCAATCCCGTTACCAGCCGCTTCTACAACCCCCTTCGCGTCCTATGCAACCACCTCTGAATGAACCGACAATCAACCACCATCATCCCAGACTATCTACATTCTTTAACCATGACCTCTACCAGAATCAAGGTTTCGCATTTTTCCCCTCTCCATACAACCAGAGCCAACGCCGCTCCTACGCTTCGGTAGCAGCCCCGCCCACCTTTTACAACTACGCTTCAGCGAGCTGCACTTATTGCGGCGAACTCAACCATCGTGAACATAAATGCAAACATGGTGTCCAGCTTCAATGCCGACGATGCTTACAATACGGACACAAAGAAAAAATGTGCCATTACTAGGTTACAGGCCAGGAAGAGTGTGCCTTTGAAAGCGAAGTATCTTTGAAGCAAAGTGATTTACTTTCAATTCCTAATGAGCATGACAAGTGTGCTAGTAAACTCTCCAAAGTAAAAGGATTAAAAATTGGTCATCTAAATGTTCGAAGTCTACATGGGAAGATAGACGAAATTCGTTTTCTGACCTCTAAGATCAATCTTGATATATTATGTCTTACTGAGACATGGTTGCATGACATGATAGATGATAGCGTAGTTAAAATTGATGGTTATCACTTAATAAGAAGAGACAGGAATAACAGCACTAGAGGAGGTGGTGTCTGTATATATATTCGTAATATCATTGTTTTTTCAGAAAGATATAACTTGTTAAGTATTAACGTAGAGGCCACTTGGATTGAATTATCATTGAAATCTGATAAACTTATCATTGGGTGTTTATATAGACCACCGAATTCTGACTCTTCTTATTTTGATAATATGCTTGATATTTTTGAGAAAGTAGCATCTGAAGATAAGGACCTAGTTATATTGGGTGATTTTAATTATGATTATAAGTTTGATGCTGCAAGTTTAAGTGATAATCCTGTTAATATGATTGAAAATCTCTTCTCATTAACACAATTGATCCATAAACCCACCAGGGTTACAGGCACCTCTTCTAAATGTTTAGACCATATTCTTACTTCTGTACCAGATAAGCATATACTAAGTGACGTAGCTAAGATATCCTTAAGTGATCATTACTTTATATACACATGTATAAATGTCAACAATACTTCTAAGAATGTTCATAATGTAGTACGATTTAGAGACTATAAGAATTTTAACGAGAATGCTTTTATTTATGATTTAAAACATTCTGACGTACTTAATAATAATTGTACTTTTTGTATTCCCCTACGAGAAAAGTGGGTTGAATGGAAACAGGCTTTTTTAAATTGTTGTAACAAACATGCTCCTGTAAAAGAATGTCGGGTTAAAACTAGGCACTGCCCATGGATAAATTTTAATATTATTAAACTCATTTATAAAAGAGACTACTTAAAGAAAAAATACGATAGACTAAAAATTCCATATCTATTGACTGAATATCGAAATCTCAGGAATTCAGTCACCAAGCTCATACGAAAAGAGAAGAGAGAATATTTTGATTCAGTATCTGAGAGATACAGTAATGATAGTAAGAAGTTATGGAAGGAGTTAAGCAAAATTACTGGAAGGGGGAAAAAAGACTCTGTTTTACCATCTGATTTAGACAGTAATAAATTGAACGATTATTTTGTAAATATTGGTAAAAAGATTTCAGAAACTTTCAGTAATCACGATTTATCATGGAACCACCCTGAAAGTATACATACCTTTGTCTTGAAATCAATTAGTCCCGGGAAAACTAAACATAATCTCTCTCTATTGTCGAAAGAGAGTAGCCTTGATATCTTAGAATTTGATAGAAAATTACTTCAAATCTCAGCTCCTTATATTAATATTTCTCTTAATTGTCTTTTTAATGAAAGTTTAAATTGTGGATTTTTACCTAATGATTGGAAATTGGCCAGAACTACGCCTGTTTATAAAGGTAAAGGCGATAAAAATAATATTTCAAATTATAGACCCATCTCAGTTGTATGTCATATTGCTAAACTGCTTGAAAAGGAAGTTCAGTCTCAATTTTTATCTTACTTGCAGACTAATCATCTTATTAGTGTTGACCAATATGCTTTTTTGCCAAATCATTCAACGAATACATGTTTACATAGAGTCATTGATGACTGGTACGAATCTTTTAATGAAAAGGAAAAAGTTGGTGCATGTTTTCTTGATATTTCTAAATGTTTTGATTGTATTGACCATGAACTTTTGTTGTCCAAATTGAATAAGTATGGTATTTTAAATACTGAACTTAAATGGTTTTCTAGCTTTTTATCTGGTCGGAAACAAGCAGTTTATTGTCATGGTAAACTGTCCGAATCAAAGGACATAACTATAGGAATTCCCCAGGGGAGTATTTTAGGCCCCTCACTCTTTCTTGTTTTTATAAATGATATAACTGATTGCTTACGATTAAGTACATGTAATATATACGCTGATGATGTTGTCTTATATGTTTCTGATATGGATATTAATGTCATTACATCTAAGCTCCAAGCAGATTTGTATGCTATAAATGAATGGTATTGTAAAAATAGATTACGTATTAATACTAATAAGAGTAATATTATGCTGTTGAGTAGTAACACACGAGGTAACGATGAATTAAGTCTGAAGGTACATATTGATACTGAAACAATAGAACAAGTAAGAAGTATCAGATATTTAGGGATTGAAATTGATGATAGATTATCTTGGGATATCCACATTAAATCTCTTACCAAATCATTAAGTTAGACGATTTTTACTTTGAGAAAGCTCAGTAAATTTTTAAGCTCTTCCATTTTAAATAGAATATACAAATGTACCATACAGCCAATCTTAGATTATTCTTGTTCCGTATGGGGAAACTGTTCTTTACAAAACAGAAATATTCTTTTAAGACTGCAAAAAAGAGCTGCACGTATTGTCGTAGGGAATTTTGATTATAATGTAAATAGCTTGAGTATAATAAATTCATTAAAATGGCAATCCATTGACACTAGACGGGACTATTTTTTATCATGTATAATGTACAACTGTATTCATGGAAAAGCCCCAGTACGATTATGCAATGAAGTGGAAATGGTTTTTGACAGACATGGTTTTAACACTAGACTTGCCAATACGCTGAATGTTGTTTTACCTAAGCCTAATCTTGAATGTTTTAAGAATTGTTTTAGATACGCTGGAGGTAAAATCTGGAATAGTCTACCTTCTGCTTTTCAAAATGCTAAATCTATCGATGTTTTTAAACGTATGTACAAGGACAAATTTTTTAAACCTGTGTAATACAATGCCGATTCATTTACTGCTTTGACATGGCTTATCTCTCTCTCTCTCTCTCTCTCTCTCTTTCTCTCTCTCTCTCTCCATTTCCCTCTCCCCTCTTTCTTTCTTTCTTTCCCTCTCCCCTCTTTCTTTCTTTCCCTCTTTCCTCCTTTACTTTTTACCAGTTTCCTTATATCTTCTCTCCTCTTCTATTTTTTAGGGTGATATTTTAATGCCTTTTATTAAATGTGATTTGATATTTTTTCCACTGTTAATTTCATTTATTTCATTGTCGTTTTTGTTTGTTTTTTTGTTTTGTTGTGCTTTTTACTATTTTTAATGCGTATTATGCTTATATGTTAGTTTTATACTGTTCTTACCTTTGCCTGTGAGCTTTGGTGATATTCGTTATTTATATTTCCGTGTTTTTATCCTGTTCAGGACCATGATGTAAAACAGATTTTGTATCTACAATGTATATCTGATTCTTGATATCCTGATTAAATATATTTCAAAAAAAAATAAATAAATAAATAAAAAAATAAACAACGAATCGTCTTCTTTCAAAGCTTCCGCGCTTCGCGCGGGAGGGGGACTGAATACAGATAAGGATTATGAGTCGGGAAATTAGGTACAACGAATCGTCTCTTTTCTCTAATAGTTTAATGAAACGTCAAAGCTTCGCGTGAGAGGGGGGAGGTACTGAATTCAGACAAGGATTATGAGTCGAGAAAGGTACAACGAATCGTCTTCTTTCAAAGCCTCCCTGCACCCACCTATCACATAAGTGATTCGCACGCTTCGCGTGCTCATTACCGCCCCCCTAAAATGAAATCCTGGCTATATACGCGCTTGCCCCAGTTACAGCTCTAGAAATAGGATTCTTAAAGAGAAATTATATCAGAGACGGTGAAGAATGGTTTTGGGTAGGCCTACCGCACTGGGAGGCGAGAGGCTATCGTGGTACTGTATATCAATAAAGTCCCAGGTTTAAAAACACATCGATTTGGAAGGTCCTCTTTACAGTTAAATCTTTAATTCTAATCAGTCATGAAAGCCACACTTGCCGATTAGGCTATTTTATGCAATATATGAGCGACTAAATAAATAACAGTTTAACAATATTCAGACAAAAATTCGCACTTTCTGATAATCCCATCACAGCTATTTTTTTGTTCGCCAACTTAATTTTTTCAATTAAAAAGGAAAAGAAGTAGAAACTAGAAAGATAAAAACAAGAAGAAGGAGAGGGAGAGAGAGAGAGGAAGAGAGAGAGAGAGAGAGAGAGAGAGAAAGAGAGAGAGAGAGAGAGAGACAGAGAGAGAGAGGGGGGGGGGGAAGAAGTAGCAGCGCAACTCATAACATGAACAAAGAAACATAAATCAATATCCCCAGTTTTAAACAATTGACATTGGCTGCCCATTCAGTCTCATATCAATTTTAAAGTTTACTATTGTTAACTTATCAACGTTTCTATCATTTTGCTTTATCATTGAATTGTTAATACTTTAAAATCTAGAAAGAATGTTGCAAACTGTGAAAAAAATCTTATGGGGAAAGATCATTTTTATATAAGGCATTAAGCCAACAGAGACGAAAACGGGACAAGACAATAAATCACATGTCAATTATTCCACTGTAAACGGTTTTCATTACTTAATTTTTTACTTGACTGTATACTAAATTATCACTGGTCTTATAAACACTTCAATCGTAAGCTGTTATTGTACAATCAATCATGTTGCCTTCTTTCTGTCTTTGATTTTTTTTCCCCAATTATTTTTCTCTTCTTCTTTTCAAGTTCTTCCTTTTTTTAATTTTCCTCCTTTTATTTCAATTTCTCTACTGAATTTATATCATACCATTTGCATGTATTTCATTTGTTTCATTTTCATGTGTTAATTCAAGATACATCATCTTCGAGGTGTGACTTTGAAATGTTATCAATAAACCTTGTCAATCAATCAATCAATAAACTATAAATGCAGGCCGAATGATCAATTATACTTTATTTTTTATTTAGGTTTTATTTCCACATTTACTGCACATGAAAAGAATTTACAAAGTAACGCATATACAAGGTATCCGGTAGATAAGTAGTACCAGGTATTACAAAAGTAAAAAATGATTTTATGCAATTCATTAAATACAAATAATGCTAACAATAATCTGCAGTGATGAGGAGGAAACCTTGGAAGCATTATGCTTGTAATTAAGGTTCCCTTTACATAATACGTTTGTTACATAATATATAAAACAAAAATGGGTGTGTGGATGCCCGGCCTCAATAATTCAAGTAACACACACACCTAAATATTGCTCTCTGACACGAAAATTATTCTGATTTAGATTTAATGCTTGAATGCATGAATGAAGAATGCAGAAAAGAAATAACAGAAAACAAAGAATTAAAAAATACAAAAAAATAAAATAAAATCGGAGAGGAACTCAAAGCCGTCGGTCCTCTGGTTGCTTACTAGCAGTCAGGTAAAATAACCACCACCACTACTACTAATCTCAAAATCATGGGGCAAAGCTTTCATGCATCTACCGAGAGAGGGAGCTGGTACAATTTTCCATAAAGAAACTTCATTGAGTAAATAAACACCAATTTACGGGCGGGCACTTCGCGGATCGGGGCATCGACAAATACGAAGGGTAACATTCTACCATCAAAGATTCCGTGTACGGGGTACGATACGGTACCTAGATGCGGTTGTAATTCGTACACCTGCAAAAGGGATCACAACAACCAATATTCTTACTTGTTGGAGCTAAAATCATGGAATTGTCAACGATTTCTAACAGGTGTGCATATTCCGCTAGATGTACCCAGACCTAAGGATAACTTAACTGGATTATAATCGGTTTCTTCTACTGCGATTTGGAGTGCAAGTGTCGCTTGGATCTTTAAGAGTTTGTGTCCGCGAGAGATCTAGTTTGACAAGTGCGGAAGTGGGTTGATCTTTCGCCGCCGAGATGCCGGGGTTGATAGCGCTGGGCCGCCGCTGGTCGGTCGGCAGTGATGATCTGGTGGTTCCGGCGATTGTGTTTCTTGTGCTTCATGTTATATGGTAAGTTTTTGTCATCTTCGTAATTATCTGAAACTTGACGAGAGGGAGTTGAAATGTAATTGTGTTTGGGTTGTATCTGTGAAATATGGTGTTTTTCTGTGCCAGCGATGTATGGCTTCTAATTTAAAGTACAGACAGTTTTTAAAGTGGCTCTAGTGATTATATTTAGAGTGAATTAATTTTGATTGACCAAAACCACCACCACCACCTCATCATCATCACCATTGTCATCATCATCACCTTTTTTTTTTTATCATCATCGTCATTATCATCATCATCATCATCATCATCATCATCATCATTAACACCATCAGATTATTGGATATTCTTCATCACAGTTTTATAGATTGTTGTTTAGTGAGAATATGATTATTGTTATCATTCTACAAACTTTATCCACTGAAAGTTTTTGTTTTGCTAATTTGCTATTATGACATGTCATTAGCATTGAAGTGATAGAACTTCCATTATTAAGTACTACATGTACAATGTACTTCATAAAAACATCTTAATAAGCTAGATACATGGTAGGAAATATTATTTCCAGCCATTAATCATATATATTTTGTTTAAATATGGGGGGAGGAGTATAAAAAATGAAGTCTTACAAAACAGTAAAGAATGCATCATCCCCTTTGGAACTAAACAAAACTCACTCATCTAAAAAGAACAAAAAATGAAATCAAACCATCAAACCAACAATCATACAAACAAACCAGCAAACAGACTAACAAACAAACAAACAAACATACCTTCAAACAAACAAAATATAGAAATCATTAATATAACAGCAGTACATTTATAAGTTCAAATTATTTGAACGTAAGTTTATTGATATCCCTTGATGGTAATACCAGACGAATGAATCAGGTCAGGTGTAGATCTTGAGATGACGCTCCAGCATGTAGATTGGTGCTGACAGTGCGGTCAGGTTAGGAAGATGTCAATATAATTATTTATGAATGATTGTGATGATACAGTGCCTAGTGGAGGAGGTGGTGGTGGTAGTGGTGGTGTTGGTGGCTGTGGTGGGGCTGGTGATTTTGGTGGTGGCAGTGGTGGGGCTGGTGGTTGTGGTTGTGGTTGTGGTGGGGCTGGTGGTTGTAGGGCTTGGCAGGTGGTGGTGGTAGTGGTGGTGATGGTGGAAGAGATGTTGATGTTGGTGATGTTGGTGATGATGATGATGATGATGGAGATGATAAATCATAATGAAAACCGAGGCATGCAAGTTTCAGCATTCATCAGAGGATTATCTTTGTCATATCTTTGTTGTTTAGTGAGAATATGATTATTGTTATCATTCTACAAACTTTATCCACTGAAAGTTTTTGTTTTGCTAATTTGCTATTATGACATGTCATTAGCATTGAAGTGATAGAACTTCCATTATTAAGTACTACATGTACAATGTACTTCATAAAAACATCTTAATAAGCTAGATACATGGTAGGAAATATTATTTCCAGCCATTAATCATATATATTTTGTTTAAATATGGGGGGAGGAGTATAAAAAATGAAGTCTTACAAAACAGTAAAGAATGCATCATCCCCTTTGGAACTAAACAAAACTCACTCATCTAAAAAGAACAAAAAATGAAATCAAACCATCAAACCAACAATCATACAAACAAACCAGCAAACAGACTAACAAACAAACAAACAAACATACCTTCAAACAAACAAAATATAGAAATCATTAATATAACAGCAGTACATTTATAAGTTCAAATTATTTGAACGTAAGTTTATTGATATCCCTTGATGGTAATACCAGACGAATGAATCAGGTCAGGTGTAGATCTTGAGATGACGCTCCAGCATGTAGATTGGTGCTGACAGTGCGGTCAGGTTAGGAAGATGTCAATATAATTATTTATGAATGATTGTGATGATACAGTGCCTAGTGGAGGAGGTGGTGGTGGTAGTGGTGGTGTTGGTGGCTGTGGTGGGGCTGGTGATTTTGGTGGTGGCAGTGGTGGGGCTGGTGGTTGTGGTTGTGGTTGTGGTGGGGCTGGTGGTTGTAGGGCTTGGCAGGTGGTGGTGGTAGTGGTGGTGATGGTGGAAGAGATGTTGATGTTGGTGATGTTGGTGATGATGATGATGATGATGGAGATGATAAATCATAATGAAAACCGAGGCATGCAAGTTTCAGCATTCATCAGAGGATTATCTTTGTCATATCTTTGTTGTTTAGTGAGAATATGATTATTGTTATCATTCTACAAACTTTATCCACTGAAAGTTTTTGTTTTGCTAATTTGCTATTATGACATGTCATTAGCATTGAAGTGATAGAACTTCCATTATTAAGTACTACATGTACAATGTACTTCATAAAAACATCTTAATAAGCTAGATACATGGTAGGAAATATTATTTCCAGCCATTAATCATATATATTTTGTTTAAATATGGGGGGAGGAGTATAAAAAATGAAGTCTTACAAAACAGTAAAGAATGCATCATCCCCTTTGGAACTAAACAAAACTCACTCATCTAAAAAGAACAAAAAATGAAATCAAACCATCAAACCAACAATCATACAAACAAACCAGCAAACAGACTAACAAACAAACAAACAAACATACCTTCAAACAAACAAAATATAGAAATCATTAATATAACAGCAGTACATTTATAAGTTCAAATTATTTGAACGTAAGTTTATTGATATCCCTTGATGGTAATACCAGACGAATGAATCAGGTCAGGTGTAGATCTTGAGATGACGCTCCAGCATGTAGATTGGTGCTGACAGTGCGGTCAGGTTAGGAAGATGTCAATATAATTATTTATGAATGATTGTGATGATACAGTGCCTAGTGGAGGAGGTGGTGGTGGTAGTGGTGGTGTTGGTGGCTGTGGTGGGGCTGGTGATTTTGGTGGTGGCAGTGGTGGGGCTGGTGGTTGTGGTTGTGGTTGTGGTGGGGCTGGTGGTTGTAGGGCTTGGCAGGTGGTGGTGGTAGTGGTGGTGATGGTGGAAGAGATGTTGATGTTGGTGATGTTGGTGATGATGATGATGATGATGGAGATGATAAATCATAATGAAAACCGAGGCATGCAAGTTTCAGCATTCATCAGAGGATTATCTTTGTCATATCTTTGTCTCAGGCTTCATACCAGTATCTTACAGGAGTATATATATGAGGCTTCCATTTCCATCTGTCTTTTTCATTCACAATATTTTGGTAAAATACCTTAACTAAGTAATTATGGTGAACGAAAATAATACTGATGTTTATGATGGTGTTGCTAATGTTTGATAATGAGGTTGCACATGTACATGTATGAATGTGTTTGTGGTGGGCCAATAATGTTAATGATATATAAGCAGAGCCGATGTAATTATAGTAATGGAGTAGTACTAATAGAGTGAGGTAATGTTTGTATTGATGATAATTTACCTGTACATAAACCTGAGATGAGGTTCATGGTGGATACTCTTTCCTGCACACATTGAATGAGAGAACATTTGCTGCTTTATTTTTTGCAATAAATTGATCATCATTATTGCTTATGTATCATCTCCTTTCGCTTTCCATCTTTGTCAGTCAAGTGTGTAATGATCGAAAGTGTGCATTGATAGAACATACATGTACTTGCATTATGTATTCTAATTAATTAACTTGTGCACCAATTCAACTCTTTATGCACATTGCACACTACATTGAATGAGAGAACATTTGCCGTTTCATTTTGAGCAATAATGTATCGTCTCCTTTCACTTTCCATCTTTGTCAGTCAAGTGTTTAATTATCGAAAGTGTGCATTGATAGCTCATTTTTGCAATATGTACTCTAATTAATTAACTTGTGCACCAATTGAACTCTTTAGAGCTACATAGTACATGTACATTATAGTCTATTTCACTGTTCACACATTATAGCTAGAGTTGAATTCATTATAGCATTGGTAACATGTGTTAGAGTGAGTCACTGTTTGATTGGAGTGATATATATTGATTTTCTTTCTTTGTTCCTCCCCTCCTGGACTTCATTACAAGCAGATCAATGAATCAGGCTGTTCACTAATTGAGAGATTGCTGCATCTACTTGGTCCTCCGTTATTGGACAGCCCATTAATTCTTAGAGATAGAGAGAAATATGACCTTTTTGTCAGATTTGACAAATTACATGTACTGTATGTACACTTCAGTGTAGATCAGATTGTTTATATTTTGTTAATATTTTTTTTTTTGATAGCTTTTTTGATTACTTGTAGCCATAATTAGGCATAAATAGAAAAGTTGTAACTCATGAGGAAGTTTTTTTTTTGTGGAAAGAGCTTTATGACTAAAACTACTACTATACCACAGCCAAATTAGGGAGGGGGCACAACCACTTTTGCCCCTCTTTGAAGTTTCAAGTAGCATATATATACAATGTACTGTACCTTTTGTACACAATCCTAAATGTGTGCTTTGTTACAATTATAACCTATTATAACCTATTAAAAATACCACCCCAACAATACTGCTAAGTGCTAACCTCTGTTTTTTTCTTACCTGTTGGATTTTTTCTCTCATAAGACTACCCCTTTTTCACAATATCCCGAAGTATGCCCCCCCCCCCCTTAACAAAATCCTGAATCTTCGCCTGGGTCACATATAATGCGTACATGTAGCTTCCTGTTTTTTGGCCTTCAAGTTATTGTTTTGAGCCCTAGATTTCTCTCTTTCCCCGAAATATTCTGTTTGCGAAGGATACAAAATTGACTGTATTCCTAATTTTTCCTTGAGAGATTCCTAAATTTTTATTGTGAAAGGTTGGCTGGTACAATAATGCAGTAAATGCACAGATTATAAGTTTATAACCAAAATCTCTCTGTGATTCACGCTGTACTCTATATTGCTAACAGTAACATTATGGTTGCAATAGCTCGCAGGCAGGTATGTAGTTATTCAATTGGCGCGCTTCTAGGACTTGCTACTCTATACATTTGGTATTTGCCCTTTGACGACACAACAAGAAGGGTTTATTTGATCTCAGCCTGTGTAATGTAGGTTTTGTATTTCAGCTGCTGCTCAGCACTTCAATCGCTTACAGCCTGTACTTTGTACATGCACAGACCAAATCCTCATACCAAATACATGTACAGTGTGTAGTGAGTTTTAAGCATGTGACAAGGCAAGGCATTAATCTATATTTGCCACTCCATACCCAGAAGAGAAATGGGGACTTGGTAGGATGACAAAAGCAGTTGTGTTAGTATTTGCCATATGCCCTCACAGTCACCATATACATGTACATGTATGCTAGGAATACTCTTCAGGGAGTAGAGATGGTGCACATTGTGCTTGATTGTATCCATCAATCCAATGACCAGGGTAATAGTATAGACTGTAAAGCACTTAGAGATGGTATTTCTTATTAAGCACTGTGTGAATCCAGATTCTTATATAGCATTTACCATTTAAAGATGTGAGATGAAATATCCCCAAACACAAATGTTTGTCTTTTCTTTACATGGATGAGTTAAAGTGCAAAAAAAAGAAAAGAAAATAGAACGCCCCCTTACTGTCGTTTCTTAAGTACCTGTACTACGTCAAATATTTGTCCAATTTGTGCCGTCCCCTTGGGGCGAGTAGGAGTTTGATAATTGAGTTTTATAAATGGAGCACCCCTAATGAATTCCTCAAGACCCAGGCGTGATTGCCAATTTAGCATCGTCCGTGTCAGCAGTGGTTAGGTATTACCGTTTGATTTACGTGCACGGACTGCAATTTCATATTCACTTCAGGAGGGTAGATGAAGTCACAATTTGAAATTTCCTTTAGGCATGTTACAGCTTTTTTTTAGTAGAAGAAAATTTGTATCAATTATGTTTTTTTGACTGGTTTATTAAAATATGAACGTGTATGTTGTTGTAAATTTAGTTTTGTTGAATATATCCTTACATGTTTTGTAATCAATATGTAAATTGTGAGCTATTAAGCCATTGGCTACCATTCACAAATGTAATTTAAAGTTAAACCTATGAAACCATGAATAAATGAATATGAAGAAACATACAAAAAACTAAGCTGGAGGGACTTGTACAGAGACACATATTGTATGAACAAGCTTGAAATATAGAAATTTGTCTGGGAAAGAAGTAATTTATAGTTTATATGCATGTAGATGATCTGATATATATGCCAAACATATTTCTAACAGGTTACACTATATTTCCATGAGATAAAAAAAGCTATACTTAGGTCAGCTTATTTGACCTACAAATGTTTATGTTTAATTTGTCATGATAAAAACATTTATCTTATCACAGGGGTGTCTAGATTAGATGATATCACCCCAAGTTCAATTTGTTACCCTACTTATTCCAATTTTGCTGCATACATTGTACATGTACATGTATAGCATTTGTTATTTCATTTTGTTCATTTCTGAAAGAAACTTCAAATTAGTCAATTATTCCACAAAGCAATTTTTCATCAAGGTTCATCATTTAATTTTAATTGATGTTTTTTGGTACATTTCACAACACATTAAGCTGAATTAGACCCTTTTATCTTTCAACACTGGAGTGAAAATGTGTCATTTTTCTGCAACAGTTGACACTTAACTACAGTGTATTATTGTACGTACCCAGGTATATACAAAACTATGAGGAAGTATAGCCCTTTGGAAATGTCATGTATGATTGAGCAGGGTTGCATGCTGTGCTGAAAGCAAGTTAATCATCTTGTGCAGAGTTTGAGATATTAATTGACTATTAAACCTGGAAAATGCTGGGTTAATTGGTCGAGATACGGCTGTCATCATGGGAAAAAAATTCTGGACGGAATGTACATGTTTTCTTTTGCTGTCTTGGGTTAATTTTCATAAATCTTCATGAATGATGAATTTTTCGAATCAAGCACAAACCAATAATGACATTATGACAATGAATATGAAACATGCTCATGGAAGGAAACTAAATTAAAGGGAAACAATATTTTCAATAGTTCCCAGCCAGTTATCTCATTTTCAATACGGTATGTACATGTAAGACTAGTCAGCCTTTTCACACACAGCTAAAATTCATTGTATCTAGAGATGATTAGTATAAACACGTTTAACTCAACAGTTTTAAACACGTTTAAAGAAAATTTTCCCTGTGTGAACATCGTTTATACGATGTTGGGATAGATACGAGGTCGCGATTCATACTCCCCTCAAAGCAGGCTGCAGATACGAGTTCGTATCTAGAGAGCTTGACATTTTGTGTGTGAACGGTTTAAACGTGTTTAAACTGGATAGAGCACGTGCTTTGTTTGATATGATCTGACCTTCAATGCGCAATGGCACTACTGCGCAGTTTAAGAGCAGTAGTTAATCACCAAACGATTAACAATCGCACTGAAATTTCTGTGTGTGAATGATGTCGTATGTACACATGATTAGTTTAAAGCCCTTTAAACTAATCATGTTTATAGAATTTCAGCTGTGTGTGAAAAGGCTGTAGATACCTGTGAATATTGCTTTACAAAAACTATGTTTCTTTAAAAAAAACAGAGGCAAATTTTTGATCGTTTTGCTTGGATTTGTTTTAAAAACATTTTGTCTAGCTTGTTCATGACATACACATTGTAGTTTCACATGTAGATGAAACTGAAAGGTTATGATATATGGGAATTACACTAAATACTTATAAATGATACTTGATTCAAAAGGATTCTCAATTCTTTTTCTGCAGTACATCGTAGACTGAGTATACAAGAACCCACTATTATTATTATTATTATTAACTACATGTATACTCACATAAATACTCAGTCTACTTTTTACACATACATATAGTCACTGTCAAACCATTCCATTCTTTTTTGTTTAAAAAGTCCTAATGGTTGCTGAAAGAGATGTTATTCCCTTCAGTGAGATGGAACGTGCCGTGAACTTTAATTCAATAAGCGACAAGTATTCATCTATAATGCAGACAGCCATGCATGGCATGGCTGTGTCAATGGAATCAGTGAATTTCATTCAGGATGTTTTGAAGACTGAAAAGTCAATAGA